TTTTCATTTGTCTCCCAGTTCTTTTCATTTTTGGTCTCCCAGGCTGGCTGCTTGTGGTCGGGTTCCCGGCTGGCTTGTCTCGCACTTCCTTTCATTTGTCTCCTACTTCTTTTCACTTGTCTCCTTTCCTTTCATTTGTCTCCCAGGCTCGGTGCTTGTGGTCGGGTTCCCGGCCGGCTTGTCTCCCACTTCCTTTCCCACTTCTTTTCATTTGTCTCCCAGTTCTTTTCATTGTCTCCCAGGCTGGGTGCTTGTGGTCGCGGGTTTGCGGCTGGCTTGTCTCCCACTTCCTTTCATTTGTCTCCCACTTCCTTTCATTTGTCTCCCACTTCTTTTCATTTGTCTCCCACTTCTTATCATTTGTCTCCCAGGCTGGGTGCTTGTGGTCGGGTTTCCGGCTGGCTTGTCTCCCACTTCCTTTCATATGTCTCCCACTTCTTTTCATTTGTCTCCCTGGGTGCTTGTGGTCGGGTTTGCGGCTGGCTTGTCTCCCACGTGCTTTCATTTGTCTCCCACTTCTTTCATTTGTCTCCCAGTTCTTTTCATTTGTCTCCCACTTCTTTTCATTCCCCAAACAGTTTACTGTTAGGGGTTCTCAATGCTTTAAAGAATGGTCGCCTTGGTGCTGGATGGTCTGGTCGGGTTCCCAGCCGGCTTGTCTCCCACTTCCTTTGTCTCCCAGTTCTTTTCAGTCGGGGTTCCCGGCTGGCTTGTCTCCCACTTCCTTTCATTTGCATCCCAATTCTTTTCATTGTCTTTCAGGCCACTTCCTTTCATTTGTCTCCCACTTCTTTTCATTGTCTCCCAGGCTGGGTGCTTGTGGTCGGGTTCCGGGCCGGCTTGTCTCCCACTTCCTTTCATTTGTCTCCCACTTCTTTTCATTTGTCTCCCAGGCTGGGTGCTTGTGGTCGGGTTTCCGGCCAGCTTGTCTCCCACTTCCTTTCATTTGTCTCCCACTTCTTTTCTGCTGGTCGGGTTCCCGGCCGGCTTGTCTCCCACTTCCTCTTATTTGTCTCCCACTTCTTTTCATTTGTCACCAACTTCTTTTCATTTGTCTCCCAGGCTGGGTGCTTGTGGTCGGGTTCCCGCCCTACACTTGCTTTCATTTGTCTCCCGGTTCTTTTCATTTATCTCCCAGAAATGCTTCATTTGTCTCCCGGGTCCGTCACTGCTGGTGCCATGTAGCATTTCTATTCATTTGTCTTTGTCACTGCTAATTTCCGCCCTTTTCCGCTGGCCATGCAGCATTTCTATTCATTTGTCCCCCAGGCTTGTCACTGGTGGTGTCCGCCCTTTTCCGCTGTTTCTATTCATTTGTCTCCCAGGTCTGTCACTGTTGGTGTCCGCCCTTTTCCGTTGGCCATGTAGCATTTCTATTCATTTGTCTCCCAGGTCTGTCACTGCCAGTGTTTTGTCTCCCAGGTCTGTCACTGCTGGTGTCCGCCCTTTTCGTGCAGCATTTCTATTCATTAGTCTCCCAGGTCTGTCACTGTTGGTATCCGCCCTTTTCCGCTGGGCATGCAGCATTTCTATTAATTTGTTTCCCGGGTCTGTCACTGGTGCTGCCGCCCTTTTCCGCTGGCCATGTAGCATTTCTATTCATTTGTCTCCCATGTGATTTCTTTCTTTTTGTCTTTCAGGTTTGGTGCCTGCACTGCTGTTTTCTGCCCTGTCCGCTGGAACAGGTTCGCCTGTGAAAGGTTCTTGCTCCTTTGCAAGGGGTGCGTGACTGTCTCCGGGATCGCATTCCTGCCGCACTGTGTAACTCTCTCAGCTTTGTTTTCCTTCTCGGGCAACCGTTGGATGAATGACCGGATTGGATTTCGGCGGTGTGGCAGCGATCTCTCTATTCAGTTGGGGCGGAGGGCATATGTCAGGCACCAAAAATCAATTTCACATCCTTCGCTCCTCATGCTTTTGTTTCTTGTCCTCACGTGGTCAGCTCCCCGCTGACTGAGCAGCATGACCAGCATCATGTTCGCGCTTGAAGAATAATTCCCCAAAAGGTTTACTGTTAGGGCTTCTCACTTCTTTCTTAAGATGTGTCCCCCCGCTCTGTACTGCTGTGTCCGTCTCTGCCTTGCAATCCTTTACATTTATCTCCCAGCTCTAGTTTCGATTTTGAAAAACACAAACTGTTTGGGGTCTACGGTGGCGTAATTTTAGTCACCGTTTTGCTTAAACAGTGGTGTTTCCCTTCTGGGACAGTTTGTTGATTGTAGAAGAAGCCTTTGCAGAAAATGGATTTCTTAGACAAGAACTTTGGAAGGTGTCATCCTTACAATGAAGCAACCTTCTGCGAAGACTTATTAAGGACCTTCCTTAACGGAAGATCTTGCTTATATGTATGCAAATATGAACGGGTTTGTATACTGTCAAAGTCTTCTCAAGGATGAGAATGGTAAACAGAAAAATGGCCTTGAATGATAGAAAAGGTTCTGGAAATTTTCCGACAAACGGATCCTCAAACTTCTGTCATTTTTGGCCGGAATTGCTATCTATATACTGTAGGCAGGTTTGGAGAAAATGTGCATAAGGGTTTACACGTGTCACATTTGGTTAAACACACTGCAAAGGTAGGTCCTGGGGGAGGTGGGTAGCATCGGTATACATATATACTTACATACAGTCTCTCTCTGCTGTCCGTTTCTCCTCTCTCTCTCTCTCTTTCTCTTTCGTCTGCCATTCCGCTTTAAGACTTGACTTGGTGCCTGCAGTTCAATTCAATATCAATATCTCCAATCTCAAAGCTGAGGTACCTTTCCCTGCCTCAGGGCCACGACCAGCACCCCACTCTCGGAAGCTGATTCCCTTGGCATGAGCTGAGAAAATCAAATGCATCAGATCAGCGATGTTCTTGGGCTCCAACTCCGCCAACTCCCCATCCCAGTCTTTCACCGGCCACTTCAAGTTCACTGGCTGCGCCAGAAACTCTTCTCCTTCTGGAGATTCTGCGACATAATCTTGGATGGCTTGCATAAAAAACCAAGTCGCATCTCGAGCGTTGTAGCGGGGTCGGTTGGCTGCATCTAGCAAGTTGGGACACAAGCCATGCCTGATGACATTGGCATACACCAACAGTGTGTCACGAGCTTCTTGGAAACGCCCAGTGACAAGAAGACAGCCACGGAGCGAAATGAAAGTGTCTCGCCCCCAATTCCGCATGAATCCAGCAGAGAAGTGCGGAAGGCCAGCGCAAAGGGATGGGAGCTTGTGCCAACCCTCTGTCTGAGCACGATCCCAATGTAAGGGCGCTGACTTGGTGGCTCCCCAAAACTGAACTGTGGCCAAAGCCAGGTCTCTGATCAAGTCCGATTGGTAGCTTGCAATCGCGATGAACTCCGAGGAGCTCTCCAAGAAGTAATTGCTGGCCGCAGCACACAGCCCCGGCACTAGAAGGTCAAAGTAGAAGGGTGCCAGAGTCCTGGGACAGTCAGACAAAATATTTGCTGCTCGTTGAAGCCAAGCTTTGACATTTTCCAGGCCAGGCATGTCCGCAAGGCGATCAACCAAACACTTCATCAGCCAATCACCTTGTCGCAGATTCTCGGCAATGGGTGCGTGCAAAAGCTGATCCTCGGTAAAGCTGCGTCGGGCCTCATCCAAAGCAGCACACACACCCATCAATCCACAGTAGGCCAGTGGCCCCGAACCTGGAACAACATAGGCACCTCGTTGGCCATTTGAACGATCCCTTTCTTCGGACTCACAGGAGTAGAGGAGATAGTTCAATTGGTGCAAAGCTATGGCTTCCAGCGGCCTGCAAATCTCTTGGGCGTCCAATAGCTGTAGGACAGCAGAATGCCTTTGGTGCGCCTTTGTTGCATCTGTACTCAGCACCATAACACTGCCCGGCGGAAAGCGGGTGAGACGCAACTTGGAATTGCCACCTTCTGTCCAAACATGGGCAACTTCTTGCACGGAACCATAGATGTGTAGGAAGCACTCAAGGCCCGTGACAAAGTTGTTGTCCTTGCGAAAGCCATTTTCATGCTGGTCTCCGACGAAAAGCGTGGCTGCAATATGCAGGTGTGAAACCATGCCATCCAATTCCAACACCTTTGCATCCAGACCATCACCCATGCGATCCCGCCAGAATGCTGAACGGATGACAAACCACACAGAATGTGAGTTGTCTGGCGAACGGCGTTCTATGGCAAGAGTGTCATCTGCGAGGAATTGCACGTGTATCTCCGTGTAACCATCCTTTCCCAGCTGCCAATGAAGTTTGTTTAGCACCTGTTTGACAGTGAGAATTCCTGGCAACTTGTTGATCAATGCATCAGGTCCAGACATTGAAGTGCTGCCACTGGGTGGTGGAGCTGATGGAATGCCTGCCGCACTGAGCACATTGTTCCGGTTCCCATGTTCATCCTGGGCGAGGGGCAACTGCTCATTGACAGTCCATTGATCATCCACAATGAACTTGTACTGCAAGGGAAGTCTGCTGGTCTCTACCTTCAATACGGCGGACCAAAGACCATCTTGGTTCTTGATAAAGTTGAGATTGGCACCCCACCCATCCCAAGCTCCACGTGCCACAACTTTGGAGGCCTTGCTGTGCCAGGTTATCGTGAACTCCTTTTCCTTCTCAATCTGAGGCTGAGTCTGAGTCTGAGCTGGTGCAGCTGCCGGTGATCCAAAACCACCCAATTTCAGCACCTCAACTTCTGGCGCTTTGGGGTATCCTCTGCGCTCTGACACTACTGAAGGGTTGGTTGGGAAGAGCTCATCGTAGCCACGGACACTACCAGCACTGGCACAGCTTGCGGCGACCACAGCGGCATTTGGAAGGGCATCTCTTGGATGCCTTTTCTGTGCTGGAGTCTGATTGTCGTGTGTGCAATCGAACAGAAGTGCAGGACAGTGTCGTGGTAACAAAGGCACCGCATCACGTGCAGGAGCGGCCAGCAGAGTTCGTGATGGGCACTTGCTCAAATGCTTCTGCTGCGAGGTTTGCGCTGGCGGAACCCGATCAAGGGTCGGGATAGGAGATAAAGCTCCAACTGGGTGGCCGTTCCAAATCGGACTTTGGAGTTTGTGCCCCAAATCCGCTGGGCTGTCACATTGCATTGCCTCTCGAATGAGAGCGTTGATTCCCAGAGTTCTTTGGTATAACAAGTCTGTCTCAAAATTCCCTGTGAATAACTCCGCAAACACCCAACAGTGGGGATTGACCTCACGGACCCTTGCGAGCACGTGCCGACTCACATGCAGTGGAGTTGAATGCGCGTTATCCAATCGAATTGCATGGAAGATTTTGGCCATACCAACGGCATAGTCCGTCATGTGCTGCCAAAGGAAGGGCGCATCAACTTCACTCTCGCCGTATCGCAACTTCACGGTGTCTGTCCAAACACAGAGATGTCGCCTAAGGTAAACCATTCTCCAGGAAGGGGCGGCAAAATCTTCAGTGGCCGGCCAATCCATTACCCATCCATTGTGAGCAACAACCTCCTCACTGTAACCAAGTCGTTGTGCAGCATCAGCTGACAAGTGCAAACGTCGAAAGTAAGGCTCAACCAAGGCCTGATTTCCATCTCCAACAGGTCCTTTTTGCAACACGAGTCTCTCATACTCGATGCTTCCACGCAAGGACTGCAAAATGTCTTGTTCCAACACATTGAAGTGAGCGGACAAATCCGACTGCAGCCTTGCCATGTGAGCCTTCAAAGCGTCTATGCTTCCACACACTTCCCTGGAGACCTCTCCAGGAATGATAGCCCCAGAACGTTGTGCTCCGAGGGATGGCAGCAGGCTGTTCTTCAGAGTGCCATAGGCGTCACCCTGCCATGTCCTTCGAAACAAGTGTCTGTCCATTGAAGAACTTGTTTAACCAACTATGGACACGGACTAGACTAGAGCGACTCTTGGTGACAACGCCTATGCCTATGCCTCACACTACTAGTAAGAAAAAACTACTAGGAACAAGGGCATCGCTACTAGGAGCAAGGACGCTACGAGTAGCTCCTGGC